TACGCTCCTCATAGTAGTACTCTTACTTGAAGAGCCTACCTCTGTATGATGAACAATAGGTGGAGGAATTGCCAAAGGAGGAACGGTGGAAGAAGGAACAGAAGCAAGAGTTGATGAAGGTAAAGAAGCAATCACAGGTACGGGAGATGAAAAGGAAGATAAAGGAAGCTCGTCTAGAACAGGTCCTAAGTTTCCACTACCAAAACCACTAACAAAAAGTTGATCGATAGACTCACAAGTGTCGTGAGGAGAAACGTCATCATCATCAGGAATGATAACTGGAGTAACAACGGGCTCGGAAAGAGACAGGTGAGGGGAGACTTCAGCCTCGTCATCAGAAACGATACGTCTCCTGGCTCGCGGTCTCGTCACCAGGGAGCCCTCATCTTCATCTTCTGGATTCTCTTCCTCAGTAACTTTTCTTTTTGAAGAACCCAAGAATATATCTTGGGCTGAAGAGGAACGAGAACTCAAAGAGTCACGAGAAGCTATGATTACCTTTACGGTGACTCCCCGAATAGCAAATCCTGATAAAAAGAAGGGTAAAAGTTAGAACAAAGAAAATATTTATATACAGACGAGGTAAAAGAGAAACTCTTACCATGAGTTTTTACTTTCCAACCGTAACGGTTGGAAAGGTTTTTCCACGACCTACCCTCCATTGGAGCGGTCTTCAGTAATTTTCCTACCCAACCACGGAAGTTGGGCATGGTCTCCACAATACCCATAGTTGCTGAGAAAAGAAAAAGAAGCGGCATTAGAGAAGTTGATAAAGCTTGTAAGGAAAAGGCACGAGAAAGATTTAACACTTACGTGCAGAGTTCCATTTCTCAGGAAAAGGAACGTTATTTTCACCCACTAAACCAGCAGTGGGGGTAGTAACAATCGAGCATACCAGCCACGGTCTTTATCATCCTCGGGGCTCACTAAACCCCTCTTGCTCCTGGCTGCTAGGGTAAACACGCCGTTGCGAAAAAACCTAGGGGAATAAAGATGAATTAGGTGGGGAAAAGTAAATTCAACCTCCACCAGATTCGTAAGGTGCCTCAAGCATGCGACAGCCTTCCAAACAATTGGACAGATTTGACCCAAACATACGTCAAAAAAATGGCAAACATCTAGAATAACCGGATCAATGGCCGGTTTAAACCCTAGAGTGAAAGGGTATGTATAAACAAAAGAGAATCCAGTCATGTATGAAGTGATCCTCTGGTTTGGATTAGGAATGATAATGGAAAAATCATCACTCCAATAATAATCCTTATGAACTATAGGAGTTAAAATATCTGTGATTTGAGTGGGGAAAGCGTCAACACGATCAAAAGAGGCAACTTGGGTCCTGAGAGATTCTCTATCATGATGAAAAGAAATCTCTGTTGGGACTATTTCTTCAACTAGAGGCTCACGAAGGGGCTCAGAGGACTCTTTATTCCTAGAAGAAGACCTCTGAGAAAGGGAACCTCTAGTCCTAGAAGAAGGACCCGAGATAGAAGAAGGAGTGGATATGCTACCACCACGAGTAGACCCCAAGCTACGGAGTCTACCCCTCTTCTATGTCTAACAGGAGCATCGGGGAAGTTGTCTAAAATGGGGGTTCTCCTAGGGTTAGGGTTTGGTGAAGCCATGACAAAGAAGATTGAAGTAGAGCAGAAGAGAATAAGAGGTTTTCGAAGAATTAAAGTGTTTGAATCGCTTTATGTGGTAAAAGACAAGTAAAGAAGCTATATTTATACTAATGGGTAACCGACAAAAGGAAAAAGTACAATGATGGAAGAACTATAATAATGTTAACTGACACTTCGTGAATAGGGAAGCCGAAAAGAAAGCCTAAGAAAGTGCTGCAAAACTAAAGAACCAACAAGAGGATGACACGTGTTTAATGCATTAAATGGAAGTGACAATTAAAGCGTCAACTCTGTCAGGGCATTAATGGTGACAAAAATTCTCTTTTAAATGAATTTCACTTCCCAAATATTCAAACTGATGAATAAATGGAAAGTGGAGGGACTATCTGTATTGGGAAAAATTGTATTTTACATATAAGGTGACGTGTCAGTACACGTGAATTGGTCAAATGGTCAATGAATCGTAATTAGGCACGATTCAAGAATTGTAAAACAGACACGAGCAAGGAAGGAGGAAGAGGCACGAGACATCAGATAAGTAGTACGGTACTCGTACCTACTTAAGTTATATATATCCGGGCATCAGAAGGAATGAATCTGGTTATAAAAAGTGTGAAGATACATCATTTAATGGGTATTAAATGCTGAGTCCGTTAAGGAATATATATAATCTAATGATTGTGTAACGTAGCATTTAATATTTTTAATTATTCATAATAACCTCATTATGATTTGGGCATAACGTACAATCTCAGAAGTACTTATAAAAAGGAGATATATGATCAGTTGTAGGGGACACGAAAGACTATTGAAATATACGTTGATATCATTCGTTTTTCTTGATTATTATATTGCTACTCAGAATTATTTCCTTATATTCATTTCTTTGATTATCAGTAACCCGAGTTCTTCTAAATTCTAGCTTTGACTAAAATTCCATTTTTTGGTTAAACAATGAAATGATGATTATTTATCCTATTTAACTAACTTAATAAAGGAAGAAACTCCGTCCCATATAAGTCCTAAACCATCATTAACCTTAAAATATATTCCAATTTTATAATTTTACCACTTCAAATTTACAGTTGCGCTTACTTTTTAGTTACAGTAAGGCACATAACCCTTGCATATTTTAGAGATTTTTTTTTAAAATCATATATTCTTAAGTTCATTCTAAAAAGACAGAAACATAGTCATCTAACTTACACAAAATATTTATTTCCTCATGAGCAAAATGCAAAATATTCGATTACTTTAATCAATAAAAAAATATATAGGAATTATTTTTAATATATTAGAAAAGATAAATTATTATCGCAAAAGTAGAATAATTAAGTCACTAACGTATGATTAATCTATAATTTTTTTTTTCTTTTAGTGAGAGCTTTCTTTGTCCAAATACATAATCATGCATCCCAGATTTTATATTTATGCATCAAAAAATTACTTTTCCATGAAAATCAAGAGTATATGATTGTATTTAGATTACTTGATAGATTATATTAAAAGATTTGGAATATGAAATTTATGTTTAGATCAAAATTTAAATTTATTCTTTTCATCAATTTATAGAATGTATCATTTTAGTTGTTCTTATTTAAATAGGAACTTTTTAAACTTAAGTCTGATTTAATTCAAAAATATATTTTAATTGCTTATATTTCCTAAAAGCATTTTAAGAGAAATTTTACAAGAATACTTTGCTTGTTAACTTCTATTCTATTATGATTTCTTATGTTGTTGAATTTAATTTTTACTCCCGTTAAATACATATAAATGATTTTCTACCAGTTGTAACCTCAGTTTCTTTTTTATTTTGTTTTGTTTCATGTATAAAATGGCACATGCTTTACATTATTTGAAATTGTGAGATAACTTGTACTCCTAAAGTTATATCTTTAAAATATTTTAGTTCTAAGCATAAAAAAAATTCCAATAAAACAAAAAACAAATTGCCTACAAAAACGTTAGAAGAAAAAGAAAGCAAAATATTTTAATTACTTGTGTGAGTTGAGCTTTGCTTTAATTGAATGAATAAAATAATTCATTTTTAATTTAGATATACCACTTAAAAATAACTACAATAATAATAACTTGTGAATCAAACTTGAGCTAAAGAAAATACAAATTGAAGAAATATTAATTTTTTATTCCCCATAACAACAGTTTAACTTGTTGGAAGGATAACGTGAACTTCTCATAAATATAAATGGATTTAAAAGAGAAAATTTTGTTAAACAAAAAAAATCCGCCTACCTAAAAGGAGTATAAAGTAATCGAGACTATCCTATTGTGAATTAAAAGCTTATTTAGTACTCCTAAATCTTAATAGGGTTGAAAGTGTAGGAATTCTACAATTGGAAGAAACACCCCAAATAATAGGAAAATAATTAAATAAGTATTCCTAAATATGAGAAAAATAAATTAAAGTACAATTTTGTCCAATATAAAACTTATTTTTGAAGGGTAAAAAAGTCGAACGACATTTCGCTAAGGGTCTTCGTGCTTTTAATGTAGTATATAGTATAGATATAGATAGATATAGAAGATAGATAGATATAGATATAGATATAGATAGATAGTACTCCGTAGGCAAAATAGATGCAAAATCGTAAAAACAACTAATCAAAAAAAAAAAATGTACATATACTTGTATAAACTTTAAGGGGTGGTTTGGTTCGGGAATATAATGCAGGGTTGTTTGTGCGGTAATTAATAATGAAGAGGTATTTGTGCATTAATTAATAATGAAGATATTGTTATAGACAAATTACTTACATTTAATGGTCATATTTGTCTTTAAATAATTTGATCTTTGCATTGTTAATATATGTATTCTTATTTTATATTTTATCCTGCATAAATAGTATATCGACTCACGCATAATTTAACATGGTTACTCCCTCCGGTCCATAATAAGTGACCAATTTGCTTTTTTATTTTGGTACAAAATAAGTGTCTATTTATATAATCAAGAAAAAATTAAATTTATTTTTCCAAAATTACCCTTATGTACGTATCCCTAAAAAGTCTAATTTTACTCCTCACATTAATTAAGAGTAATTTAATCACACTAACTATTTTTGTCTAAAATTTAGTAGGGGAGTATTATTTAAGACTGCAATGTGGCTATTACTTTTTTCTTCTGCGGTCAATGGAAGAGTATATTATCTTGTACGAAATTTCATGTTCGATTAATAGGTGTACCCGTACCCAATGCGCTAAATATGCATAGGGCCATGTTCCCAAAAACGCCGGGGACGGGCAAATATTGCACCTTTTGACAAAATCCTTAACCATATTAACCCACTTTTTCCACACCCCACACTTGTCACCACCTTTACTCAAACTCTATAGTATAAAAAGCTCATCCTCTTTACCTTTCTCCACTAACTTGTTTCCATTGCTAAGCAAAAACACTCATAAACGCTTGATTAAGTCTCTAACATGGCTGCAGCAGCACCACCACTGAAAGATGAGCTAGACATTGTGATTCCCACAATTAGAAACCTTGATTTTCTTGAAATGTGGAGGCCTTTTTTTGAGCAATACCATCTTATTATTGTCCAAGATGGTGACCCTTCTAAGACCATTAAGGTCCCAGATGGTTTTGATTATGAGCTCTATAATCGAAATGACATTAACAAGATCTTAGGTCCTAGGGCCTCTTGCATTTCATTCAAGGACTCTGCTTGTCGCTGCTTTGGTTACATGGTCTCCAAGAAGAAGTATATCTACACCATTGACGATGATTGCTTCGTGAGATCGCTTTCCTCCTTAATATAATTCTTTCTTCTATTTATTGCTAAAAGTCACGTTCAAGAGTATTAGCATATTTTACTTATATGACAGAGTTAGAGTATGGACTTTATTTGTGTTTACCATGATTTTATACGTGTGAACACTCACGACACAAAAGAACTTTTACACTGTCAAGTCATTTAAAAGATAAATAAGTTAGCTACATAAAAAGTAATGGAGCACCCTATTACAATATAAGTTAATTAAATTATACAAACAATGTGGAATTAGGTACATAAAATACGACAAGGTAACCTATTACAACAAGTGAAATTACATTCTTGTCCGTGCTAATATGCTATTTGACATTTGGATCTCGATATAATTGTATCTCTGAATTCATGTGGCTTGATGAGGCTTACTTAGCGGCAATAGATATTAACTAGCCTTACAAGTATAAAGCTAAAATAGAATGGAGAAAACCAAACAGTATGAACGATCTTGTAAGACTAACAAAATAGTGTTGATTTGCTGCTCTTTGAATACTTTGTATATCTGTTTTTAATCTTCTCCTTAATCATCATTTTTTTTAGTATTTTGACTTTGTTTCATTTTTGCTACAAAATCTGACTCTGGGTGTAGGTTGCTAAGGACCCAAGTGGGAAAGACATCAACGCGCTGGAACAGCATATAAAGAACCTTCTTTGCCCATCAACTCCTTATTTTTTCAACACTCTGTATGATCCATTCAGAGATGGTGCAGATTTTGTGCGTGGTTACCCTTTCAGCCTACGTGAGGGTGTCCCAACGGCAGTCTCGCATGGCCTCTGGCTCAATATCCCTGACTATGATGCTCCTACCCAACTTGTCAAGCCTCTCGAGAGGAACACTAGGTCTCTTTATTTATTTATTTTAATGAATTTTTTACTTATATACAAGGACAGTGTTAATCATTTCAGTATAGCTCAACCCATTTTAGCAATCCATTGCCCCTCTTTTAGGGTTAATGAATCATAATTGCAACATCTAGTTACCTTCTAAATGACCGGATGGAGCGTGTGTGCTATTCCATGTGAAACATAGATGTCTATGTGAAAATTTTCAAAAAAATATTAAATTTTGAAATTCACAATCTTAAAAAGTACACCAAGTTCAATACTAAAGAATTTTAATGCTCGAATATCAAGTTTAAGTTGTGAATCCGTCCCTGCCTTAAATGTGAAAAAAATTCAAACTATTGACATATCAAAGTTAAACTCTTATTATTTTAATTTCATTTCCTAAGTGACTAGTTTGATGCAACAGGTATGTTGATATGGTGTTGACAATCCCAAAGGGTACTCTCTTCCCTATGTGTGGAATGAATCTGGCATTTGATCGTGATCTTATTGGTCCAGCTATGTACTTTGGACTCATGGGAGATGGCCAGCCTATTGGACGCTACGATGATATGTGGGCTGGTTGGTGCTGCAAGGTTAGCCACTTTCTTTAAGTTCAGTAGTGAATGGATTTAAGTAATATAAACAGAAGACAACGTAAAATTATTGTACCTCAGTAGCATATTTTAACATGTTATAGCAAGCTATTTATTTATTATTTTATGTTATGTTATCGACACTCGTTAATCAAGTTGGCTGCATTTACTTTTCAAGTGACTGGATTTTTTTTTACATAACTTAAACCCCTAAACCAATTGGCAGGTTATATGTGATCACTTGGGATTGGGAATCAAGACTGGATTACCCTACATTTACCACAGCAAGGCTAGCAATCCATTTGTAAACTTGAAGAAAGAGTACAATGGGATTTTCTGGCAAGAAGAAATCATTCCATTTTTCCAGAATTTGAACCTCTCCAAAGAATCTACTACTGTCCAGAAGTGCTATGTGGAAATGGCCAAACAGGTTAATGAAAAACTTGGCAAAATTGATCCTTATTTTGTGAAACTTGCTGATGCTATGGTCACTTGGATTGAAGCTTGGGATGAGCTCAATCCTGCTACTAAAGACACTGCCAAGATTCCCAATGGTGCTGCCAAATAAAATATTTCATAGTTATTTGTGGAAGTTTAGTTTATTTGCAGTATTTATAGCTTTGCTTTTATGTAATTCTGTCATCTATATCCTTTTACATTTTTTTTACTTGAGTTGTAGATGTAGCCATAATTTGGAAGAAATGGATGTAGAACTTCCATTAAAATCTCGTAAACTGTAATAAGCCATTTGGTCATAACTCTGATGCGAGGATCAGATGAAATAATTTTCTGTTTACTTCTCTTTCAATTCCTTTTCTTTTCTATTTTGTTTAATTTAACCTAAATAAAAACCTTGTCGTCAAGTAGAGCTACTGGTATCATTTTCATGCAAAACCTGTTAGAGGTAGACTACTTTTCCAACATCTCGCTTTTGAATATTTGATGAGCAAATAATCTAGCAACAATTGTAAATAAGCCCCTTTTATTCAGTTATTATATTAATTAAGAATTCTCATGAATGACCAACTTCGAACAGTTAGTAATAGGAACACTTAGGGACTTTGATCAGACTGGATACGTTTCAAAATCCCAGCCTTTGTTTCTGATCCAACTTTTTTTTTTTTTTTTTTTTTTTTTTTTTTTTTTTGTCAATGATGCAGAATGTTAACCTTAGGCACCAGAAGATAAATTAACAAAAAAAATTACTCCGCTAACAGCTGAGACTGTCCAGAGTCGAGTAACAACAACAAATATTTGTGGACATTTTAGACCAAATAGGGAAGCCATGTTACACAGTAGTTTTTTCACAAATGAAAAACAAAATTTAATACAGCAAAGAGACAGCAACTGGGACTAAGATTTAAATAAAGTTAAAAATGACAGAAACAAAACAAATATAAATAGCCCTACCTCCTTTAAGAATAAAAAGAACTGACAGATAAACAGAAGGATGACATCCTCCTCATTACCGATAGGCATTTTGACAATTACCAGAAAGAGGATGGATCTCACTCTGCAAGAAAATGCAGCAGAAGAGATGGATTATGATGGGATAAAAACGGCAGACATATTTGGCCAAGATAGAAGTTATGAATCAGATTCTTCGGTCTTCTTACGCTTGGCTGCAGGCTCCTCAACATCCTCATGGTTGCTACCATCACCATTCTCATGGTTGTTAATTCCATTCAAAGCTTTGGGACCCAAAAGAGACACGTGCTTACTGGTTATCTGTCGGCCTGCCCTTAGTTTTGGACCCCAATGCCTCTCTGGATTAGGGAGGAAACGAGCAACCTTCTTCGCCTGTGCCTTGCTAAGGGATGCAACAGCCCGAGAAAAATTAGCCTGAAATAAGTATGACGCCGAGATCAAAATTCCAGATAAAAGACTGAAAAAAGACATACCACATACTAGAAGTCAGGTGTTGTCTTCTGTAAGAATTCAAAGATCTTTTTCTTGATAAGTTTTGAAAGATCTTATTCTTGATTGAAAAGAAAGAGTAAGTCACCGTACAAATAAACACATGTAGATAACTTGAATGTGTGCAGATAGCTAAATTTTTCATGACTGTCGTATGTAGGTGTTACCCGAAAATCATTGACCTTATCGGAAGGAGCATAGAGTGGTAAATCTATTTCTTTTAAAGAGCGGAAGAATTTAGAAGCTTAAAAATACAGCGATTGTAGTTTTGTCACAAGTGCAACAGATTGACACGCAAAAGCAGACCATGTGCCAGAGACTTTTGGTGCCTTGTAATAAATGATCCCCGGACATTTGAAGTCAAGGGGACAATAGACACAGGAGACAGGAATTAAGAATGGAAACCAGAATCTCGCATTTCAAATTTCACACTAGACATGGCTGGTAAAGATTGGAGGCCAAGAACATATATAATTCATTTATTTTATAATTAGAGTTGGAACTTCATATTTCTAACTTCCTTTGGACAAAACACTACCCTTCTATGCCAGTGATAAAGATTCAGCAAAATTAGGTCACATTTCAGAAGATCAAAGTTCACCTGCAGTACAGGTTCCTTAGCAAGAATCACACTTCCAGCTTGGTCAGATGGTTGAGCTTTCACAGGATGATTTTTAATCTGCATATACGACGTTATCAACTCAGATGGTGGATGTGAAGGGGCCGTTATTCTCAGCATATGGAATAAGCTAAAGCATGGTTTTTAGCTAACTTGTACTGCTCTGCCTTTCAACGCGAAGAAAATCATAGCAAGAGCTGCCAGAAACAAGCACAGGATACACTTACCCAGCAACGCATGATATCCCAAATGACATCCATAGGAGCATCTGTTTTCAACCCCAAAGGATTCACATGAGTCCCTGATATGCGATATCCTGCGTTGATCACAGCAGAGCGAAATATTACTGCTGAGGGAGATGTACATTTCAGCGTTGCACAGAGATTGTGCAGACTCAGAAACAGAGGAATATCAGGTAATTCCTGCAAAAGCACACTCATCGGTCAGGCATTTAGAGAATGTCCTCTGAAAATAACTGGAAATGATTTTCAACAATATGATCTGGACTGAATAAGTAACGTGGTCTAGGTTACCTAAATAGCTTCAGGATACACAAAAAAAAAAAAAAAAAAAGAGTCGTACGGACAAAAGAAAAATGAGCATAATATCTATTTTAAGGCAAACTACACCTCCGAGACAGTTGTCAACACAGCAGAGATTCGCTCATAAGCAGGATACCGATCCTTCATTGACTTCACATCTGCGAGAATGGCAGCTACCCATTCTTGGTCATGGATGGGAGCAGACCAGATGGGTCCACCCATGTTGAATTTTTTACCACAATCACTGCACTCTTGAGAAACGGCAGGGCCAAATCCAGGGAGGTATCTGACACTGTTGTTCTAAAGATGCAGAAAAAGTTAAACATATAAATGGGCCATACTTGAAATGTGTTAAAACAGTATCAAGTAAGGATTTAAAAGTACAATGAACTGAATCCATGATCTATAGCATAGAGGAGAAATTTTCCCATTGAACATACAAAGATTCCAAAGGGATTCCTCCAACTTCCTAGCAACCAATGAACATGTAATCATTCTGGCAACAACATGAAAGAAACCACAATTGAAGAAACAAGCATGCAAGTATGATTTACATCCTGTTACACTTGCAGTAACAGAACAGCCGATATTGGTGCCTGTTAAAGTCGATTAAAATGTTCTATTTTCTTGACGTTATCTTCTTCATTAATAGAGGAAAAATAAACCCCAAAACGAGTGAGTGAGACTGTCAGTTCAGTGCTCCAAAAGATTAATACCGTGAATTCAGAAAACAAAGTGCAGCAGGTTATCACTATTTAAGCTGCAGTAGGAGAGTTAAAATTTCCAGCACAACAAGAGTGAAATCTAGTGGTATGCACAAGTACAGGTAGTTGGTGTTCCTCCTCCAATGATGATGGCCAACAAACCATTCTTGCAATTGGTGCATATTAGCAAAATTAGTACTAGTCAACACCTATAGACACAATATCGTCTCCAGTATGGTTTAGGGTTCTTTTCTTTTGTTCAGAAGCCCCATCTTTTAAATTAACTTTTCCCCGTTTTGTGGTAAAGAAAAGCCCCATCTTTCAAATTAACTCTTCCTTGTTTTGTGATAATTATGCCAAATACGTCTCAACCACATCTAGCTTGATAAAGCTTGTGAGATTAGTGGCTGATGAAGAATATTATTAAGTAACATGTATCTGCATCTTTAGGAACTCCTTCCATCTACCAAGATTTCTAGATTAGAGTATAAGCTGTTCAATCCAGCACATACCATCTTCTACAATTAAGATATTCAAAGATTGTGAAGGAAGAAATACCTTTGAGACAGTCCTCCCAACTGGCTGAAGATGGAAGGAGTCACAGCCAGTGCACTGATAGACATATGAGAGCTTCAAAGGAGTGCTTTTCATATCACTTGCAGAACTGCAAGCAATTATTCGAAAGCTCAAATCTACAGAGAGAAAATAACCTAAGCAAAATTGGCTAGATTGTAGAAAAAATAAACACTTACGTGTATATACGAACAAAAACACGAACATAGAAGTCCATCTGAACAGATAATACCGGAACTATATATCTTTTATATCGATTTGCATGGCTCTGAAACAAAATAACAAATAAAAAAAGTTAAGAGCTAAGAAAAATTAAAGAAGCACCCTGTTGTTTATGGTATAGGATCAACAAAAAGACGATAATGATGCTCCTAATTTCTACATTATTAAATTATAAGTGACGAATTTTTCCAGTCTGTTGGTTGAATATGCTAAGGGTAGCTGCTAATTTTAGAATAATGCTAAAAGAATGTAAAGAAAGGAAGTGCATGAATATAGCCAGAAATCATTATCTCACTGCTTAAAAAAACTAAAAACAAAAAGTTCACAGATGAAGTACCTCAATAGACGCAAGAAGGATGCGCAAAGCCATTTCATGGCAATATTTTCCTCTCAAAGGATAGGAGCCATATCTAGTTGCAGATGATATCACGTAAGCAGGATATAATGACAAATAGAGTTATGTAATGCCAGAAGCAAAGGGATTATTTTGGTTACTTGGAATAGCAAACTTCTCCATTTCCTCCACATAACACTGCCATATCAGTAGCGGTACACATCAACATCCCTCCATCAGCAACAGATTGAACTGCTGAGTCCAGGAACACAGAAGGTGCTCCATAAGGATCAAGATCAACCTGAAACAACACTAACCAAAAATGTATGAATGATAGCTCAGCTTAGAATAGATATTAACAAAATTATTTAAACATACAATTAACTAGGATAAGGAACTTAAACGTGTAAAGTAACTATCCTGCACGTGTTTGCCTTATTAATTCAACACCAAAGAACAGTTTTTACTCATTACAGGTGGTTACTAGACACACCCCTGTGCAGAAGAACATAAATACGATGAAATATTGTATATTCATACCACATCAAATTCTTTTGGGTGGGTAAGCATATAAACTCTCGCATCAGCAAGGTGAGACTCCACCTTAGAGCATGCTACTGAACCATTAAATTTTATGTTTCTCCTGCAAGCTTCCACAGAGGCTGCAATCAGAGAGAATACCAGTCAAATACCAGTGTTATCAAAGGCGAAAAGCGCAAAAAGAAACTCTAAGGTCTGTTGGGGCTTTAAGCGCAAAGTACAAATAAAGCATGGGCTTTAATGAAGAAATGTGCAATTGAGAAAAACGACAAATATGTATGTGTAGTCCAAGACTAATATTTTAAAGCATGAATACCAAATATATGGACAAAGAAATAGAAGAAAATTTACGATAAA